TTTTTTTTTTTTTTTTTTTTTTGAGGCCAGGGGTAGCTCATCAAAATGCAATTTTATTTAAATAGGTTCAAAAATCTTTAAGAGTTTTCTGATTTCTCAGCTTTCCCTTGTAGAAATAAGAGGTCTCCTTTGCCAAGTAAATTAACTTAAATGGCTCAAGTCTGTGTGCTGTTTAAAAACAAAGAACAAGATGCCTCAGACAAGTCAAGTGCCATATAAATTTGGCAAAATGTTTTACTCTGTTGTCTATTGCTGGAGCATTCTCTCTGAGTTTCTTTAACCAGAGTTTTGTTTAGCAAAAAGTAACACTATCAGTAGCATCCTAGAGAAATAGAAACTTCCTGAGATTGTCAGCAGGCCTAGAAAAACTCATGACATCCTTTTTGAGTGTACTGTTTTAATTTGCATCTTTTGAATGATTACTGATATTGAACATTTTTTATGCATTTATTTGCCATTTGTTCTTCTGAGAAGTGTCTATTCATTTCAGATGTCCATTTATGGATTGGGTATTTCAATTTGGAGGATCTGATTTTTTCAATTCTTTATATGTTCTAGGTATTAGTCCTTTGTCTGAGGATCATCCGGCTAAGATTTTTTTCCCCACTCTGTAGGTTGTATTTTCACTCTGTTGGTGACTTCTTTCACTGTGCAAAAGCTTTTTAGTAAGATGAGATCCCAGTTGTTGATTCTCTGTATTTTCTGTGCCACTGGAGTTTTCTTCATTAAGTCTTTGCCTACACCTATGTCTTAAAGAGTTCTACCTATTCTCTTTTTCAGCAGATTTTCCATTTCTACTTTAATATTTAGATCATTGATCAATTTTAATTTTAGTTTAGTGCATGGTGATAGACACTGGTCTAGTTTTAGTCTTCAGCACGTGAAAAATCAGCTTTTCCAGCACTATTTATTAAAGAGGCTATCTTTCTTCCAGTGAAGGTGTTTGGCCACTTGGTCAAAGATAAGGGTGTGTTTGAAGTTGTTTCTTACCTTCTAATCTGTTCCATTGATCCTCAGGTCTGGTTTTTTTAATCAGTACCATGCTGTTTTTATCACAGTAGCTCTGTTGTAATTTCAAGTCAAGGATTGTAGTCCTCCCTACCTTGCCTTTGTTGCCCAGAATTGTTTTTGCTTGTCTATATTCCAAGTGAATTTTAGGAATGATTTCTCTAGTTCTGTGAGGTATACTAATAAAGGATGAGAAGAAAAGCTCATTTTGTTCTTAAGAGCCCAAGATAAGCTAATTAACATTTATGGAGCCTGTCCCCAGAGCTGGATAGCATGGGCTATGTTAGGATATGGCCAGGAGACTAGGTTCAAGTGAGATCTTTCCAAGAAGATTTCTCTGACATCCAACTATTTGTTCTCCCCTACTGTTTGTTTTCATATGCTCCTATGTTCTATACTTGGGCCAACCTACCTACTAGAAGGTAGGCTTAAAGACAGGGTCTTATTCTTTGCCATTTTAAAGTCCAAGCCCCTGGATAACCTTTGTGGAATTGTATGTGCCTCTGTGGATGGAAAAGTGGAGTCTGGTCTTCTCAGCTGGTTATCATTAAGGTTCTGAGTGTCTAGTACTATACCAAGGGGCCAAGGAAAGAGGTCCCAGAGAACTATGTCAATGGGAGTAAGTTTCCATTCATAGAAATCAGGCTTGGATTCCTCAGTATTGGACTCAAATACTGTGGATGGAACCTTGACCAGACCTGCTGCACAGCCCAAGGTGGAGGATCTCCATATAAGCAAGGATAGGGGCCTGAAATAGGACACAACATAAGGTCAGAGGGTGGGGATTCAGCCACTTGCAGCCCTTTAGCCACTGAGCCTGAGGGTGGGAATCTTGACCCTGCTGTGGGAAGGTGAATGGAAACCGGGCTACACAGGGACACACAGTGGTATATGGAGAGAGTGCTGATACTGTTTACATGGTGCGGTTTATGTGGATCTCCTGGATCCTCAGCAAGTCACACACTCCCTCTGACCCTCACTCCCTTCATCTGGTTGTGCCTATAGCTGTTTAACTCATAAGATTATCTTCCATGCTCACATGAAATTTTCTCCACAAAAGCCTCAAATATGTGTCTGCATCTTCAGTGTCTGTAAAAGGGCATGGTCAGGCCCTCTGCCTCCTGACTCTTGGAGGCTGCAAGAGATGACTGGCCTTATTTCTCTTGCAGATACCACCTCCCCTCTGACCCCCACAGATGCCTTCTGCTGCACCTTCCTTGGGGCAGGCTCACTCCCATGGAGGCTGCCTGTGCCCTCTCTATGGGTGCTCTCGTGCTCCCTTCTGGGCCATCCCTGGCCCTCGCACCCCCAATCCTGGCTTTCTTCCAGTGGTTGTGTAAATCAGCATCAGAACTCCTGCTGCTGTGGAAGTAGGGACACCTCCCAGTAGGAACGGGGTGCCTTCCTCCATAGGGGGCCTTTTCCTTTCTCCTGGGCAGGGTTCAAGGGTGAGAAGGACCACTGGCGGAGCCGGCGCACCATCTGTGTGAAGACCCACGAGAGCGGCAAGAGGGAGATTGAAATGTTTGACTCAGCCATTCTGCTGATCCGGAACCCCTACAGGTCCCTGGTGGCTGAATTCAACAGAAAATGTGCTGGGCACCTGGGCTATGCTCCCGACCACAATTGGAAGAGCAAAGGTAAGTAGGGGACCAGTGAGGCAGGTGGCAAAGGACGCTGGCACTATGCCCTCCGGCATGCAGGATCCGTGCACAGTTTTTCTGGGGACTTGCACTACTGTGCTTGGTTTGAGTTCACCTCTTCTGCATCCCGTCAAAGCCTGCTCAGTCCATGCATCATAGTGTTTTATATGCCAGCTTGAAGGCCAAGAATCACCTGTGCCCACCCCCAGCTGGGTAGTGGGATGATCCATGCCCCTTTACTTCCCCTGGAAACACTTTGTGCTGGGATGACTCTTGACAAATTATACCCCAATCCCTTCCAAAAATTCACTTCTTAATTTTCTAGGAAAGACATCTCATGGAGATCATTTGCTCATACCCAGTGGCTTACACAGAGCTAGGAGGAGAGCACTGGCTCTGGATACAGGTGGTCCTAGTCACGCCCTCCTCTGCCTACAGGACCAGCTTCTTCCTGGCCTCATAAGATACGGCCACAGGCCACATCTCATGGGGAAACATAATGCCTCTTCCCAGTCTGTGGTTAGTGCTCAGCATGCCAGCCCCCACCTGTGCTGCCTGAGTGACTCCTCACCGTGTCCCAGAGGAGAATCACCATCATCCTGACTTTCCTCTTAAGCCTAGAGAATGTGGCTGTGTGATTTGTCCACGTAGCAGAGCTGGGTCTCAAACCCTTCACTGTAGTCAGCTCAGGCAGCCACAGATTGAGTGACTTGAGCAACAGACATCTTTTCCTCATAGTTCTGGAGGCTGGAAGTCCCAGGCCAAAGTGCCTGCTGACCCAGTGTCTGCTGAGGTCCTTCTTTCTGGTTTGCAGACAACCACCCTGTCCCTCGGTCTTCACATGATAAAGACTGAAAACTCTCTGATATCTCTTATCAGAATATTAATCAGATCACAGGGGCTCTACCCTCATGACTTCATCTAAACCCACTGGCCTCCTAAGGGCTTCATTTTCAAATTCTACCACACTAGGGACTAGGGTTTCCACCCGTAAATTCAAGGGCTACATTCAGACGATAACACCCAGATTTTCTGATTCTCAGTCAGATTGGCTTGTTCTCTCCAGCAGCTTTATTCAGAGAGTCTGTCTATGAACCTATAGTTACTGAAGTCCCACGGGGTGTGCCAGGCCCCCTGCAGAGCATGAGGGCCCAGACTAAAGGGTTCGAGCCCCTATGTTGAAGGCACATACAGTCTAGCCCTTGCAAGTGAATAATAAAGACACAGGTCTAGTGGTAAGTGATGTAGATTAAGTCAGAAATCAAGCTGCATCACGGCAGGGTGATGGTGAGATGAGATACTGTGGAGCATTATGTCCAGGCAGGCTGTGCATCTGTCCCCACTTCACTCTGCATCAGCACAGTCTGTTTAGTGTCTCAGACTGGAATCTAGTTCTTTCCCAGTTGTCCTCCACCTAGACCAGTCCCCCACAGCCATCTTGGTCTTCCTTGCCAACTGGCCTTTAGAAATGCAGGGACAACGGCAAGAGATTAGCGCTCTCAGTTGGGCAGGCTGAGCTCAGATCCCCACCTCTGCCTCTTGGAAGCCATGTGACCCTCAGCAAACTGTGCACCTCATCTTTAAGGTTCAGTTTTCTGGTTTTGGAATCACAGGCCATTGTGAAGGTGATAGAATGCAAACCATAACATCTGAGGGATAACAGACCAATTATGGAAACACTTTGTGCTGAGGTAACTCTTGAGAAATTATACCCCAATCCCTTCCAAAAATTAACTTCCTAATTTTCTAGGAAAGACTTCTCATGGAGAAGATCATTTGCTAAAGTTTGAGGTCACCCCTGTCTGTGGTATCATTGTGTGTCTAACTCCCAGCAGAATCGTGGGTTCAAACTGTCAATGAAACACACAAGACACTATGTATATCCATTAAGCACCATGTTTACCCAGCCCAATCAGACATAGGAGGACAGAGAACAGGAAATCAAGCTCAGCCTCTTCACCAGGAAGCCCAGCAGCTCTCTCACACCCAGGCACATACTACTCAGTCACCAAAAGGGTCTTGTTCCTTGGGGGACCCAGACAGATCATCCCTAGAGAGGGAGCAGTAGAAAATCCTGGCTGTCTCCCTCTTCTTAACATTGGACATGCTTAGTGGCCAAGGACATGGTCAAGATCGTTGTGGTTTGTCTGTACAGAGATGCCCTGCGTGGCTTTCCCACTCGTCTTAGATCCTGCTGTGTCACGACGGCCTGGACTACAGGTCCGCTCCCAGCCTCCTTGTCCAGGTTCAATCTCAAAGGTTAAGGAAACCATAGTCCATACAGAGATAACTGGTTCTTGGCACAGAGCAGGCTATGTTTAACTTAATTTGGTACATTTCCAAGGAAACGCTGCTGGGGGAAGGCAGCCTCAAGGTCATCATCTCCCAAACAGCCCTAGAACTCATCCAAGCACAATCTGACATTCACTCATTGTCCACATCAGGTCACCAAAGGGTCCTGCTCCCATGGAGATCTGGGTAGCGTGGCCCTGGGCAGTGGACCATGGAAACCCTGGCTGCCTCTTTCTCCTGAGAGGCCAAGTGTGGCTAGCAGTCATGTGATGGCAGCCTTTGACCGTGTCCTTTCTCTGTCCACCCCAGAGTGGCCAGACTTCGTGAACAGTTATGCGTCATGGTGGTCCTCGCACGTGCTGGACTGGCTGAAGTATGGGAAGCGGCTGCTGGTGGTTCACTACGAAGAGCTGCGCCGCAGCCTGGTGCCCACGCTGCGGGAGATGGTGGCCTTCCTCAACGTGTCTGTGAGCGAGGACCGGCTGCTGTGCGTGGAGAACAACAAGGAAGGCAGCTTCCGGAGGCACGGCCAGCGCCCACATGACCCAGAGCCCTTTACCCCCGAGATGAAAGACCTGATCAATGGCTACATCCGGACAGTGGACCAGGCCTTGCGTGATCACAACTGGGCTGGGCTGCCCAGGGAGTATGTGCCCAGATGATAGGCCCCCGCTCAAGCTGCTCACCTCTGCTGCAAGATGCAGTCATGCCATGGAACTATACCCCTGCTCTGCTGCTGGGCTGTGGACCTCTGGGACATGGGACATGTGGCTGCTTGCACACAGTCGGCAGGGAGGCTCTCGGGTGCTGCCTCACATGCAGAGAGACCTGATCTAGATGCCAAATGCAGACAGACAGACATCACAGGACAGATGCAAATGGACACACGCTCCTGACAGACACTCACACATCCACAGACACTTAGACATTATTCCACATTCACAGTGCTCATTTTGATGTGCCTAAGCCACCCATGCAGGGTAAGCCAGATGTGCCCAGCCTTGCAAATGCAGCCACACACAGACACAAACGTAGGTGCAGGGAGTGTGCCCAGGGGCTGGCTGGCTGTCTATCTGTCATACATGCACATGCACACACATGCAGCCTGAGCTCTGAGAGGCCCTAGGCTTCCCGTGTCCAGCACCAGCCCAGACCTGCTTGCCGGAACCCTCAACTCTGGAATGCCAGGGTGGACAGGCATTTGTGCTTCAAGCAGGAAGGGGTGGAGGTGGGTGTACAGGCTGTTGATGTTGGGCTATGCGGTCCTGACCTTGTCTGACATCCCATAAAGGTGTGTGCTGTGACTGCCAGGCACTGCAAGCTGCAGCCCCGCCTCTCTCTTCTCTGTGGATGGGACGCTGAGGCACTATGGGCAGAGTAAAGCCCACCCCTCTGCCTGCCCTGCCATTCTCTTCCACTCACCCCAAGTCAGGGCTCCTCAGAATGGGGCCCCCTCCTGCCTCCTTCCCCTTTCTAAGAAAGCTGGGAATTCCCACTCTGCACCAGAAGCAGGGTGTGAAGGTTGCGGTGGGGCAGGCCTAAGCCTCTAGGGGAGTTGAAGATTCAAGAGGCCCACATGCCAGCAGGAGGGGGCTGAGGTGAACATGGGAGACCCCTGAGGGTGCATCTTGGGGCCACTGGGACTGTTGCCCCACACACCTTAATAAGACCTGTTCTCTGGGGTCTCACAGTGGGGTCATAGGAATGTCCTGTGTGACCCTTGTGGCACAGCTTCTTCCTGACCCCTGTTGGCAGAGCCCTCTGTGTCACTCTGTGTTTGCCCTGACACATCCTGTCACTATTATATTGCCACTCAGCCTCTTACCACACCCTCTGTCTCTGTTTCTGTGTAGCGACATTGTTCCCATTTGTTCACTCTGCTCCTGGTGGCCTCCATGTCCTTCCCAGTGTGAGGCTGTTCTATAGTCTACAGTGACATCTTAAAGCTGGGAACACCAGGGTCTTTGTAAATGTTCACTGGCTTGGGATGGCTGTACGGTCCATTGTGTGGAAGACCCTGCCAAAGCCATTTCACTTGAGCATGGGAGCATTTGAGACCCCAGGAGTTTCCATGCTGCCTTAAGGGGAAGCCAGGCATGTCTACATCCCAGGGCAAACCTATAGTCTCAAAAAGGCAATAGACCTGGCATCAGATTGCTGGAGAGCAGGGAGGCCAGGGTTTTCCTATGATAGATCTGAGGCTTGGCCTCACTCTCCAGGGCTATCCAGATGATCAGAGGCAAAGCCTAAAACCACAGAAGCTGGGAATGGCAAGCATGTAAAGAGAACTGGCCAGGCCTGCACCCAGGGCATGATCTCCTATACTTTGCTCACCACCCCAGAAGTCTGGGGCAGCAGCAGTCCCAGAGTTTCTCCTGGGAGCTGGTTGGTAGATTCACTGACACTGGACACCCCAAGGCTTCATCCATCTTTCAGGAGGGTGCCACTAGCTCATGTGGCATGGAGTTCACAGTCACTGCTGGCTCTCAGCAGTGGGTGAGGGGTCTGTCCGTCCTTTTGAGAAAATCCATTTGGCTTTCTCTAAGTTAGATCTCATCTACAGCTCTCGCCTTCTCAGGAAAGAGGGTACTGTCCTGACCAGCCACAGAGTACAAGCTGATCTGTCTGTAGAGCCGAAGTGTGACAAATGCATTGAGAGTCAATTAGAACAGAACAGCGAAACTCTGTCTACAGATTCCAAATTTAATAGCAAGGATATGGAGTTACACAAACCTGTGTTAAAACATGTTGCTTTCACGGATTTTATCTCTTGTTGTGGATCAATTTGAAAAAACCAAAATACATAATTTTAGAAAACTAAAACACATTCTGATAACCCTAGTGATGTGTAAATGAGAGAGAAGAATAGACAGGCTCCCAGACCCTGGGAAGAAAGCTGCTTAATTATGTGAGCATCTTATAATGAAGCCTCTTGCAGCTAAAATTAGATTTTGAGTGCATGAATATGCGATCATGTTTGCACATCAGAATGCAGGGTTTTTTCCTCTTAAAAGTACCAAGAGCTATTTGGTTCTTAGGAGGCCCGAAGAGGGGAAGAGGAAGAGATGAGGTTGATTCTTATGGCCCCAAGAATCTTTAGGGTCCAAGCTTGTTGTTGTTTGACCTCGAAAGTGGGTAAAGGTGTTTGAAATTCAGCAACTACAAGGCAGTGTATGAGGGTTACAGAGAAATTGATTATTCCAAACTGACCAGCATGCATATTCGCTGAGTCAGCCTGAGCCGCGTAGGAGCCAAGTACAGTGGGAACACTGGAGGGTTTGTATGTGGTTGGGCTGGGTTGTGGTCCCAGCTCTGCTGTCATTGTGGACAGTCCTTTTACATGTCTGGTCTCGGTCTCTCATCCATAAAATGAGGGATGTGATGGATGTTGGTTGCATCTGTTTCCTTTCCCAGTGGCCCCTCATGTCTGCTGAGGGTTCACATGATTTGGCAGAACTGGCTCTCACCACTCCCAGGAGTGAACATTTGACACAGGCTAAACCAACAGTGTAGTCCGCCGCTCTTACCAGAGTGATTGATCCAGGTATGACTGTGTGAGCTAGATCTGTTCAGACAGAGGGAATTGCAAGATTTCTGGGGCTGGCCAGGTGTGGTAGCACATGCCTGAAATCCCAGCACTCTGGTAGGCTAAGGCAGGAAAATCACAAGTTTGAGCCCAGTCTCAACAACTTAAAGAGACACTGTCTCAAGGACTGGGGATGTAGCTCAGTGGAAAGACCCTGGGTTCAATCCCCAGCACAATAAAATACAAGGGGAAGGGATGTGAAGGGGAGGGGAGTAAAGAGAGAGAAAGAGAAAGGAAAGAAAAGAGAAAAAGACCTCCTGGGAATTTTAAGTAGCAACTCTTATGCCTCTGCCGGAATGAAAAAGAAAGCAGGTGATCCTGAATCTTGACAGGGACCATCATGGAACCTTGACAGACACTCTCAGCACAAAAGCTGAAGGGAGAGTTGAGAGGCAACAAGAACCAGGTCCTTGGTCATATTAGGTGCACAGTAAACTTTGAGAGTGGCCCCACCTCTGGACCTTTTTCATTCATGAGCCAATAAAGTCTATTTGTTACTTAAGTTGGGGTGAGTTGGACTTCCATTACTTACAACCCAAGGCATGGTAGAAAGGGCTTGGATGGAAAGGTCCTGGGACTCTGACATTCTCCATCTCTATAGTTGATATAGACAAAGCAGGAAATCCTACCACCGTGAGCTGATAGGACTGGCAGCTTACTTTCAAAAAAAGGGGCTGAGTGGGAAGTGCTCAACAGAAAGCCATCACCCAAGACAAGTAGCACTGCTAAGTCCTGACATGGAGGTCACCCAGATACCCTTGGAAAACAGTTCCTCCTAGATGCTTAGCCAATCAGTTGCCCCATTTAGTCCTTATGAACGCCTTGGTGTGGTTATTATCTGATATTTCTTGCTGTTTGATGAATGAAAGGGTTGGAATACCATCTGTGATGATTGTGAAAGTGTGGTTCTTTTGCATTTGCCAAAGCTTCTTTCATGGAGAAGACCATGTGCCCTAAGAAGGAATTCCTTGATAAGCTACTTGGACAGGGAGGGAGACCCCCTTCAGTGGGTAGGAGATAGCAGTGACATCAGAGGAGCAGTTCGATGCCATCTAAGGAGAGTAGGCATGATTAACCATACAGCTTTGATTTTGCTGAATGGGACATGCAGACTTATGGTGGAGCAGAATAGGTGCCACTGGAGAAGTAGGGTTATGCTACTTCAGTTTTCTTCCTCTGAACTTCCCTCTTTAACCTCTCTGTGTGAAGATAGGGAGCTATAAGTGCCCCCTTTCTTCAAGGTGTCCTTAGAACATCTTTCATACAGGATGCAATGGCGAAGTTCTGTAAAACATGTAGAGAAAGTCAAGGATCCCAGGAGGTCAGTTTGAGGATACTTGCATACTGTTACACCTTTTATGGCTGAAGTTGGATTTCTCAGGCCTTTCCTGTGCAGAAATGTCACCGAAATCCAGCACCTGCCATGAAAAATATGAGCAGATCCACCCTAAATTGCAAACACGATTTCTTCTATAAAATGAAGAATCTTGATGTCAAAAAGACGCTGATGCTGTAAGCATAAGTATGAGCTGAATGAATGAACTATCCAAGGTGTGTCTTCAGTGCTTGAGACACGTTTCTCAGGTTTTAACATCAATGGTGATAAGTCTATGTCCTGAAAGTCTGGCCACCGATAATCACTACAGTAAACAGTATTCCTATGGGTCATGAAGTTCCACAGGCCTTGGTAATCTCACAGGTGTCTCAGTGAGGTGGACATTATGATTGTCATGCTGGGAGAAGAGAAAATACAGTTTTTCTAAGACTAAATTGGACAAAGTTCAGCCCTTTTTTGTACAGGTGAGGAAAATGAGACTCAGATTGGGGAAAGGTATTTGAGATGGTCATACTGTGAGAATGGGTGGTAGAATTAGGACCTGAATGTAGTATCTTTCCACGTAGCACCCAGCTGCCTCCATGCTCTGCCCCATAATTCTCCACAGAGTTGCTGAAAAGGAGACAGTTGTGTGTATTCATCTCATTTGGAAATGACTTCATTAATTTCATTGCTAATTCTTGGCCAGACTAGTTATTGGTGGGCACCTGAATTCACTTTTAAAGGGCACTTATCAAGCCACCCCAATCCTTTGAAACCTACTCAAAGGAAACGTTTGTCTCTGAAGAAGTGAGGTAAAAGAGATGGACCATAACTTGCTGTATTGGTGAGCTTTCTGTTATGTAACAAAATTCTGAGATAACTTCTACAAAGGTCTATTTTGGCTCAGTTTTGAAGATTTGGGCTATAATTTGTTGCTTTGGGGCTGTGGCAAGGCAGCACATCATGGCGGAAGCTGGAAAAGAAAGAGAGAGGCTGGGGTCCCAATATCCCCTTTGAGAGCATTCTGCAATGACCAGAAGACCTCCCATCAGGCCCCCTTTCAAAAATTTTCACCACCTCCCACTCATGCCACAGGCTCAGATCAGGCCTTTAGGGATCACTTATCTAAACCGTAGCACTTGCCATGAGGTGAGAGCCCAGAGTTTTCATCCTAAGCCACAAGCATCCCAGGCAGCAGAACAGCTTTGTTATTCCAGGATATTAGTAGGCAAGCATCTGTAGGGAGTTCGCCCAGCTGTGTTTATGTGTTTACGAGTACATGGGCAGGCATACAGGTGTGAGCTCCAGCTTCTCACAGCACCTGTGAACCACCTGCTGGCCATCCTGAACATTACCAGTGACAAGAGCCCAGTCACCTGGGCATCAGGAAAAGCTCTCCTTACCATCAGAGCTACCATATCAAGGTGACAAGAATCCACTCTCACTTTGAAAAGCAGCACACAGGTTTAGTGTGTGTTTGGAGAAATACCAGGATAGCAGAGAAGTGGTACTAAGAAAAGACACTTCCCCAGCCTTCCACCATCCAATTACACTATAGGCATCTCCAAAGGTTGAAATTGATGTCCTGAAATCACCTGTGTTTGTTTTACATTGCTGCATGACAGATGATCATAAGCTGAGTAATGGAAAATGACACCCAGTGGTCATCCCACAATTTGTGTGCAGGTCAGCAGTCTTGGCATAGCCCAACTTGGTTCTCTGCCTCAGGATTCCCCACACTACACTTAAGGTGTTGGAAGACTTGGTTTTTATCTGAAGATGTGACCAGGAAAGGGCCTACTGCCAAGATTACTCAGCTTGTTAGCAAAATTAAGTCACGTGTGGTTTAGGATAGAAACCCTCCCACAGGCCACCATTCCTTCACAAGTAGGCCTCTCTGATATGCAAGCCACCACACAGCTGTT